AGTCATAATTATGAGATAAAAAGTCATAACTATGAGATAAGTAATTATTACGAGATTAACATGGACAAACAAATTATGATTGAGAGATATAAATAAACAAATAAACATTCCTCAAAAACCTGATGAACCAATTTGACACACTTTATGAGATATATGAGATAAAAAGTCATAACTATATACTAAGTGATAATTTTGAGATAAGTCGAAATTATAGTCAAAATAGTCAAAATAATAACAAAGTCATAATTATGAGATAAAAATTCATAATTATGACACACTCGGTCAATGATGAGATAAAAAAGTACAAGTTATGAGATAAAAAGTACAAATTATGAGATAAGTCATTATTATGATATTAACATGGACAAACAAATTATGATTGAGAGATATAAATAAACAAATAAACATTCCTCAAAAACCTGATGAACCAATTTGACACACTAAGTCATAATTATGAGATAAAAAGTCATAACTATGAGATAAGTAATTATTACGAGATTAACATGGACAAACAAATTATGATTGAGAGATATAAATAAACAAATAATCAAAAACCAAAAACCTGATGAACCAATTTGACACACTAAGTCATAATTATGAGATAAAAAGTCATAAATAAGTAATTAATAAACAAATAAACATTCCTCAAAAACCCGATGAACCAATTTGACACACTAAGTCATAATTATGAGATAAAAAGTCATAACTATATACTAAGTGATAATTTTGAGATAAGTCGAAATTATGAGATAGAAAGTCAAAATAATAACAAAGTCATAATTATGAGATAAAAAGTCATAATTATGACACACTCGGTCAATTATGAGATAAAAAAGTACAAATTATGAGATAGAAAGTCAAAATTACGACATAAGTCATTATTATGAGATTAAAATGGCATAATTATGAGATAAAAAAGTCAGAGTTATGAGACGAGTCATAATTATGGTATACTAAGTCATAATTTTGACATAAAAAGTCATAATTATTACTTTATAATGTTGACAGAACCCCCCCCCCTCCTCCTTTTTTTATTGAAGTTTAACAGTTTATTGAAGTAATAAAAAATTATAACAAAGTCATAATTCTGAGTTTATTGTCATTTTAGACAAAATATTTTTAAAAGTTTGCCTACATGTTTTTTTTTTT